TGGAGACATTTTTGATTGTCATAACTGGGGGAAATGCTATTGGAATCTGGTGGGTAGAGGCTGGGTAGAGGCAAAAATACACAGGACAGCCTCCTACTACAAAGTACCCAAGCCCAAAGTGTCATTAGGGTGGCTGCCAGGAGAATCTCTACCATGGCAACACAATTCCCGAAGTTTCAAAGGCTTATACAATTCGTCCCCCCTCCCCCAATTTCATGCGAAACTGCTTCTCCAAAGCAAGCCATTTCCATTACAGGTCACGTGACACCATAAACTCAAATCTAACTTGATATAACTAAACAATTTTACCCAATTATGATGATTTCCAAAAGAAATGCCTACAGAATAAAGAAAAAAATGCGTTTTTTAATCAGTATAATGCTAGGACCTTTGGGAAACCTAATGCTTTCGGATCAATGCCAACAATTATGAGAAAGGAGGGGGCAGGAGAGGGGGAGAGAGAGGGCGGAGGAGGAGAGAGGGAGAAAGAAGGAGGGAGAGACTGAGAATAATGTAACAGGTGATTAAATAATCTAAATTTTCTAAAAGGAATGAAACATTGCTTTTCTATTTTGTTTACTAAGTATAAGGAAAAAACTTTAACTACAAAAAAACAAAATCTACATACAAATGAAATCTACATTCAAGTCATATACATCTGAACATGAAGAGAAGCTAGTAAGGCTGCTTTATTAGCAAAAATATTAACAACACATCAAGTGAAAGTTTAAATTATTAGCCATGTAAAGTTTGTTATTAAAGTTTTATAATGACCACTATTTTGGAAAACCCCTTATAACAAGGCCCTGAATAAAACTACTTTGGGAATAACTAAGCTACCATTATATTAGCAAATCCTGTTGACACAATCTTCAAAATATATTTGGAATCTACTTATTTTTATCACCTCCATTGCTACCACTCCAGTCCAGCTCATGTTTCCTTGGCTTCCACTCTTGAGCTCTTATTCAATGTGTTACCAACAAAGCAACATACACTTGACCCTTGAACAACACAGGTTTGAATCGCGCAGGTCCACTTATGTGGATTTTTGTCTTTTCTTTTTTAAAATATGTTTTATTGATTTTAGAGAAGAGAGGAAGGGAGAGGGAGAGACAGAGCGAAACATACCTCGGTTGCCTCCTGCATGCCCCCTACTGGGGATGGAGCCCACAACCTGGGCCTGCCGCATGGCCAGGAATTAAATGGGTGAATTTTTGGTGCATGGGTTGACGCTCAACCAAGTGAACCACATCAGCCAGGGCATATGTGGATTTTTTCCAATAAATACTGTCAGCCCTTCTGTATCCACAGGTTTTACATCCAGAGATTCACCAACCACAGATTGAAGACAGTATTTTCGCATTCCCAACCAGGGTTTCCCAACTGTGGATTGAAAATCTGTTTTTAATCCATGGTTGGTTGAATATGTGGATGCGAAGGGCTGACTGTAGCTCCAAGTTATACTTAAATTTTGACTGTGCTGGGAGTGGGTAGGGTCAGTGCCCCTAACCTCACAGGCCAGTTATGCTCCTGCCTTAGTGCCTTTGCACTGGCTTTCCCCTTTAGCCAGAACATTGGTCCTTCCATATCAGTTAGCCTCCTCTCTTTTCTTCAAGTCCTTATTCACATGTCATGTTCTCAATGTAGCCTGCTTTGGTCACCCTATTTAAAACCGTGACTCCTGCCCTGGCTGGTTTGGCTCAGCGGTTAGAGCGTCGGCCTGCGGTACAGAGAGACCCGGGTTCAGTTCCCGCTAAGGGCACGTACCTCAGTTGCAGTTTGTCCCCGGCCCTGGTTGGTCGTGCGGGTGGCAGCCACTCGATGTGTCCCTTCACATCGATGTTTCTCTCTCTCTCTCTCTTCCTCTCTCTCCCTCCCGCTCTATCTGAACAAAAAATAGAAAAATGTCCTCGGGTGAGGATGAAAAAAAAACCAAAAAACCGTGACTCCTTCTCTTGCAGTCTCTATTCCTTTGGTTACTCTATTTTTTTTTTTTTTTTGGTAGTTCTTCTCACCTTCTAGCCTACTATACAGTTGACTTATATATGCTCATTGACTAGTGTCCGTCTCCCTGAACCAGAAAGTCAGCTCATGGGGGCAGTGATTTTTGTCTGTTTTGTTCCCATGTAGCTCCAGTTCCTAGAATAGTGTCTGACAGACCGTAGGCATTCAATACATATTTTCTGGACACATGTCTTAAGAAAAGAACACCCAAATTCAAAATTACCAAGTAGCTAAATGTGACTATTCCATTTACCCATGTAAAATGTGTAAATTTCAAGAACAAAAATATAAAAAATATCATTAATATGTGCTCTGTGTTGAGTCTGCTTGGAAACTGAACAATATAGTGCTTTTTCTGGCGGTTTCCTGTTACTAATTTTTAGTTTGAGAATTACTTCTTTCTTCCCTTCCTGAAAATGTTTCTGGGTGCTTCCTCAAAATTATTTGGCATGTGCCCTGAGATAATAAACTAATTTAATAAATTCCAATGTTACTCTTGAGCCTTTGCACACATTTTTCCTTTTGCTGGAAATGTCCTCTTGTCTCCATGTAATGACCCCATGACTCAAGACCAGGCTTAAATGTGATCTCCACCATGAAATTTCGCTGACTTTGCCTTTTAATGATATTTCCCACCTTCTACCTTGGACAATAATGATTTGTTTTGCTTGTTTGTAAACATGGCCACAGACACGTATTCCTACCCTTGTGCATATATGCTGCCCCTATAAGCAAAAGGTACAGTCTGTTTTTCCTCCTCTTGAATCCAGGCTAGCCCAGTGACCTTTTGACTAACAGAGTGCAGAGGACATGACACAGTGACAATTTTGGGCTGAGGCCTCAAGAGGCCTGGCAACTTCCCTTTTTGCTCTTTTAGAGAGAGTGGAAAAGGGAGAAGGTGAGGAAGAGGGAGGGAAAGATAGATAGATACAGATGGATTGAGACAGGGAGAGAGAAACAGAGAGGATGAGAGAGACAGACAGACAGACAGACAGACCCCCCCCCCACACACACACAGATGCCATGAATGAGAAACTATGAACTGGGCCCAGCCAGAGAGAGAGAGAGAGAGAGAGAGAGATGCCATGACTGAGAAACTGTGAACTGGGCCCAGCCAGCTCCCAGATGTTCTAGTCACTTCAGCTGAGATGCCAGAAAAGTGAATGAAGCTTTCATGGACACTAGCCATGCTGCCTCAGTCAACAACCTGTGAAACAGAATCCAGGTAGCCTCATCAAGCTCTGTCCAAATTACATAACTGTGAGCAAATAAATGATGGTTGTTGTTTGAAGTAACTGTTTTGGTTTGTTGATCCACAGCATTAATAGATTTACTGCCTCTTATCTCCCTACTGAGACCATAATAGGTTTAGGGCTCCAGGCACATTGTTTTGCATGAAGTATGCACCCAAATATTTGAATTAATCAATCAGAAGGTAAATGAGAAGGTTAAGTCAAATATAACTAACTACTTTGGGATTTTATTTGGTTTTGAATTGTCATGATATCTAATGCCATGGCTAATCAAAAGCTGATTATATTATTGAAAGTATTACAGTAGAGTATGTTTTAAATCATTATTTGCTATATCATGTTGATATAATTAGCTTTCAAGAATGGAATTAAAAATAAAATTGCCTCTTTTTTTTTTTTTTTATCCTCACCCGAGGATATTTTTCCATTTTTTGTCCAGATAGAGTGGGAGGGAGAGAGAGGAAGGGAGAGAGAGAGAGAGAAACATCGACGTGAAGGGACACATCGAGTGGCTGCCACCCGCACGACCAACCAGGGCCGGGGACAAACTGCAACCGAAGTACGTGCCCTTAGTGGGAACCGAACCCGGGTCTCTCCGGACCACAGGCCGATGCTCTAACCGCTGAGCCAAACTGGCCAGGGATAAGATTGCCTCTTAAGCAAAGGTATTTTTAACAATGTTATTATATGAACTAAGACTGTTTTACCCATTTAAGTTTTCAAATGGTCATTTCTGTCTTGTATATACTTTACATATCTACAAGAAAATATATTTTACTTTGTATATATGCACTTTCTTGTATTAATTAAATGCAAAAGAATAACAGAACATGTTACTATCAGTGACAATTTCTACCCTTTTATCTTCCCACACTTCTTATTCTGTTTGTATAACTGAATACTGTTTAAATAAAAGTACTCATGTATCCATTGGGTTGTTCAGTGTTGACTGTTGATAATAAAAGTATCAATAACAGTATTATTTTCCTATCACCACATTTGAAAAGAATGAATAAGATATTTCACAACTAATCTTACGTTAATGTGTATTTTGCACATTTCTCCAATGATTTTTCATTTGCTATTATAATATGTCACTAGATTGTTTTGGAATTGCTTATGCTTTTCCTCAGCTTTTAACCACAAGAGTTTCAGTTAAAATTTCTCAAACATTATAGAAAATTTAACTCAACTTGATTTTCTTAACCCTTAAAACATATGAAAGAAGCCAGGCCTTTGAGAATATGCCTTGAGGGAAGGAGAGCACATCTGTGTATGCTGTGGGTTAGAGAGAGACCAGTGACAAAGTGGCAGAGCTTTGAAAGTGGACAACAGGCCAAAGAGATCTCAGAGGCTCTTAGTGATTCTACATTGCGACATTACAAAACTATAGGTGTAGGATGAACTTTTATTATATAAACCGAATTCTCATTCCCCTCCCCCCAATTATTCCATGCATGGAATATTGTTTGCCTTTTTCTATTTGTTGGATTTTTTAATTCCTCTTTCACACACACCATGGCAAAAGAGAAATAACAGAGTTTAAGAATGCATATACATTTTAATAAAAATAAAAAAACTGAAATGATAAAAAGTGCTGCTTTAAGAATTAATACAGTGACTCCAGAAATATAAAGCAGTTAAATAAGAACAGTAAAGAAAACTTTTCAATTATTATCATTATTATATTAAGTCAGTTTCTCTTCACAAATATTAAAGTTGGTGATAAAAGTGACTTACCTTTACATCCCTGTGAATTATGTTATTATCATGACAATAGCGTAGAGCTTCCAGTATCTGTCTCATGTAATGACTGTGGCAAAAATAAAAGAAATATAAAACTGTAAAAAAAAGGTTTATTTTTCAAACTTAATATACAGTGGTCCTTAGTTTGTAACTCCCACTTTCATATTTGCTGCCCATGGACACTTTTTATTTGAGTAAACAAGAGTGGTGGAATGTGAGGCTTAATAATGAAAACTTGGCAGACTCATAAGTTTATGAGGAAATCATGTGTTCCATTGTCTAAGATATCTAAGTCAAAAGAATTTCACATAGTTCATAAGTAAAACAGCTTTGTAAATTAGAAATTCAAGCTTAAAACATGAAAGAAAAAAAAAACACCAATTATTCTCTGACACTCAGTTAATACTTTAGTTACAGTGGATTGCTAGTAAGTGAACAGTGCTTAGAGGCACACGGAGGATTCTGACTAAAGGGTTGGGAGCCTTTTACCTGCCGCCAGAAGCTGGCTCTTGCCTTATTTCCATTGAGCTCTATAGGTGAATTTAACAGGAGGGGAGAACCCCCTTATGCCTACAATTTCTTTTTGTAACATAACCAAGTTTTAGTTGGGGCATCCTTGAACAAAGCAGAGTTTGTACTCGGTCTAAGTGCTAGGAAGTTGGACTCCTCACGTGGCCAACAGGGGTCAGCTAAGGCTCCCCACTGGGTTCAGGAGGAGTTAGCATTTTGAAGAACAGTCCTTAAAAAGTGCTAACAGGGCCACTAGCAACAGGATGTGACAAGACTATGTTGAAAGTACAAAATGTATTAGTTCTTTTAGACTTTATGTTATTGTTGAACTGCGGAGCTTGAATATATGCATTTAGTCCTTTCACACCCAATAGGTTTACCTCCAGATAATGGGAAAGCCATTGAACATAGATTGACAGGGATTTGACTTCCCTTGCTCCATTCTAAAGTTCTTCTGTAATCCCACTATACTTTCTGAGTGTCTTTTTCATCTTCTCTTCTTCTGCATTTTACTCCCTTCTTATCTTTCTCTTTATTTTTGTATTATCCCCTCTTCCTTTCTTATTTTCCTTCCCCAACCAGCCATGACATAGAAATGCAATATACTCAACATTATTTATTATATAGTGTTTACTGAATTTTGTTTTATCTTTCCAAATCTTATATCTTTCACACTTTAAAATAAAAAATAATTTAATAATACTTAAAGATGACCTTGTGTGTGTGCTGGTGACTCAAGATAAAAAAAAAAATCCCACTCCTGTTTTAAATTAAAAGACTTTTCCATCAAGTTTCTCTTTGGTTGCTACTATCTAACCAAACTTGTATGACTGTCCCTCTATTTAGCACATACATGATCTCATGTATTATAATTGATCAGTTCCATTTTTTTGCTTAATCCTCACCCAAGGATATTTCCCCATTGATTTTAGATAGAGTGGAAGGAAGGAAAGGAGGGAGGGAGGGAGAGAGAGACAGAAACATTGATGTGAGAGAGATATCAGTTAGTTGTCTCCCACACAACCCAGACTGGGGCTGGGGATCGAACCTGCAACCCAGATACATGCCCTTGACTGGGAATTGAACCTGGGACCCTTTGGTCTATGGGCCAAAGCTCTAACTGCTGAGCCAAACCAGCCAGGGTAGAAAGTTCAAGTTTCAAAAAGAAAGGTAGGTGGCCGGCCGGTGAGGATCAGTGGTTGAGCATCGACCATGCACCAAGAGGTCGCCGGTTCGATTCCCAGTCAGGACATATGCCCGGTTTGTGGGCCCGATTCCCAGTGGGGGGCATGCAGGAGGCGGCCAATTAATGTTCTTTCTCATTGATGTTTCTATCTCTCTTTCCCTCTCACTTCCTCTCTCTCTAAAATCAATCAACAACAAAAAAAAATTAAAAAAAGAGGTTGCCAGTTTCATTGCTGGTCAGAGCACATGCCCAGGTTGTGGGCCTGATCCCTGGTGGGGGGCATGCAGGAGGCGGCCAATCAATGTTCTCTCTCATCCATGTTTCTCTCTTTCTCTCCCCCTTCTTCTCTAAAAATCAATAAAGAAAAACTTTTTAAAAAAAGAAAGATAGGAAAGCAAACAAACCAAGACTTTGCTCCTATATTTATTGTCTCCTTACAACTGGGCTCTAAGCAGAGAGCTACACCCATACAGTCCTTAGATGTTCTATTTTTCTTACTTTGCAAATGCACACATAAGGAGTTGTGGTCACATACTCTTTGCCTGGGCCAGTGAAGCCTATAATTAAGTTTCTATTTGAGTTAAGGGTTCCTAACTTGGTGTTGTGGTCCTTTCCTGGTTCAAATCATGCTTTGGAGGATCTGTGACCCCCTGAAATGGCAGGAGCAACAAATGTGAAAGTGCTTTGTAAACTCTAAACTATGCTACAAAGGTTAAGTCACTATTATTACAATATTATTATTATTGCTAAATTTAGTCAGAGATTTGGAAACACTCTATTTGTGCACCTAGATGTGAACACCAGAGTAGTGGGTAAGTTTAAACTAGGTAATGCAAACACAGCTTACTTTATACTATGGACTACTTTGGATCTATGGTATTAAGACAGTTGCTTTATCTTTAGCCTAAAGAAAGCTCGTGTCTCAAAGCCTCATTAAAAAAACTCACTGAATGAGCATTTAAAAATCTGAATATTGGAGCATTCAATTATTTGACCCAAATATGATACGTATCAGAATCTCTGGGGTGTATATGTGGGGGGTAGAATTGCTTTCTCCCCAGATATAACAGATTTAAACTGATCTTTCTCCCCCCTCTCAGTCATGACCCGGGGAGGCCTTGCATATGAACAGTGTACCAAGCAAGGAAAATAAAGAGAGAACCGAAATCCACCCACATGTTCTAGAGAGTTCCCGACTAAACTGAAATCCACCTACATGCTCCTGAGAGTTCCTGAAGAGCTCTAATTCATGAAGCATCGTGGTGGCCTATACTTTCAGAGGAACTCAGCAATATATGTTTGTCTCCATCTTCCCTAAGGATCAGGAATGATGAGAACTCTGAGCAAGGAAAGAGCTGGCCGCCAATCTGCTCACTTCCTTTGGAAGGAGGCATTTCGGGGGGTGGGGTTGTGGTGAAAGAAAAGAAGGGAAGTGACTTATTCTATTCTCCTTGTCAACTCTGGGTAAAAAGATTAATGGTCTTTGCTAGGCAGAAAAGAACTTACCTCTGAAATGCCCTTAAGGATTACCTGTGGTAAAGAGAACCCAGGCTCTCTGAGGCTTGGATGGCTCCCTGGAGGATGTCATGTAAGCTATACAACTCTCTGGGTATACAGTGAAGAGGTTTCATACTGAAATGCTCCCCTCTTGTGTGTAATCCTACAAACCTTCTATAGAGACCTCATCTGTTCTGGGCCAGAGGTGCATTTTGTTTTTTGTTAATCCTCACCAGAGGGTATTTTTCCATTGATTTTTAGGTAGCATGGAAGGGAGGGAGGGAGGGAGAGTGAGAGGAACTCCGATGTCCTGCACGACCCTGATTGGGGCTGGGGGTCCAACCTGCAACACAGGTACGTACCCTTGACTGGGAATTGAATCCATGACCCTTTGGTCCATGGGCTAGAGGTGCATTTTTGATGCGAGAAGGAATGAAGTAGGAAGGAATGATGTGAGAAGCTGCCCTTGAAGGCCCAGACCTCTTTCTGCTTCGGCTAAGCCTTTTGATTGCCTGTATCCTTTAAAGCTTGGTAGTAGGTAAGAAGATCTCTCTAATTTGTGAGACTACAATTTCATAATTTAATCTTGTATGTTAGCTCATTCCATAACTCATCACCCCTGAAAGAACAAAGGTAATCACTAATTTGGGTTGTAAGGACTGAACAGTTTCATTTTATCCATGCTTTGCTGTTCCTGTTGAAACTCAGCCAGTTGGAGAAAAACGACATTATCAATTTGATTACCTGGTGTCTCAGAGTCTCCTTGCAGTTGCTCTCAATAGAATACCAATGTAAGCTGAATTTCCCAACAATGAATCACAAAATCAGGGAAGAAGGAAGGTTAGAAGTCATCTGGTTTAACACTCTAACCTAAAGGAAGGATCTATGTGCCCATGTTACATGGCCATTGATACTCTGTAATAGGAACACACCTAATAATACTTTTTGAGGCCATTCTTTTTGTCGTTTTTAGAAAGGATTTTAAATAAATTGTGTCAAACCTCTCTTTTTGTAGTGTCACTTGCTGGTCCTAAAGTTATTCTTTTCTGGTCCATTCTGAAAAATTCCTTTCACAAAATCACCACCTCAACAGCAAATATAGGTAGTATTAAAAACCAACAGGCTTTTCATCTTGATGTATATAAATACCTATTTTTTTTTGTATAAATCTTGAGCTTGTGAGAGACCACAAGTCATTTCATCGTATGACATCACCTCTACCCACTTCTCTTCTCCCCTATCCTGACACCTAGCCTAATGGCAGTGACAAGCTTGAAGTTAAGAAAAAGCATTATAGATGATTGGGAACACAGTAAAAGTGGTATTGGTTTAACATCAACCCTGCCAACATATGTGCCAGGTACCCAGTGCTACTGTGGTTAAAAAAGAAGGTAATCTTCCTTCATTGAACGTCACTATTTTATAAAATCAACAAGCAGAATTTTTAGTTTTTCCTATTTGATGCTGCTGTTGAAAGATATCAACATAGAAAAGTACAAAAGGCAAGTTGCCTCAAATTTTTGAAGAAATAAATATAAACAATGATATGCAAATGTCTGAGAGTTTTATGTAGTCAAATAAAGTGATTTACTACTATTGCTGTAAAAAAAAATCAAGATGCCATTGACTATTTTTGGCATTAAAAATGCTTTTTAATTCTGAAACACAACAAAGAATACAAATTTAAAATTATGATAAGAACTCAAACAACAGAAAAATGGGATTAAAAACCCTAGAAGGTGTTTGAATGAGCGTGGCACAAAAGAAAAGAGAATCTTTAGCTTCAGTTCTATGCATACATCAGAAGATTAAAGAATTATAATTTATATAAACTTTCACTTGCTTCTTCTCCCTAGCTCCAGTACTAGAAAACAGCACCTTTCTCAAATTGAGTATATTCTTTATCTTGTGCTATAGCTATGGCTGCTCCATGTTCTAAAACTAGGGCCCTTGCTCCTCAGGTAGGAGGAGGCAAGGCAATACATTTGAAGAAAGCCAAGCCACGCTGAGCTCAAAGATGCATTAGGTAGTCTTCTAAGCTAGTGGTTTTCAACCTTTTCGTCTCATGGCACACACAAGCTAATTACTATAATTCTGTGGCATATCAAAAAACGTATATTTGCCAATCTGACAAAAAATAGGTATGATTTTGATTCATTCACACAGGATGGCTATTGTTGTATTGGCTTTTGCCATTTATTTGATTAGACAATCCAAGGGAAAAAAAGTCAGTGCCTCTGACTAAAGAGTCAGGTATTGTCTGTTTTAAAAATTCTTGTGGCATACCAGCTGAAAATTGCTGTTCTAAGCTGTTACCAGCTATATCTGTCCATGATACCATAATTATAAAAATGATAGGAGAAGTTATAATCATTTAATGATAATTGTTTCTTAAATGGTAGAAAGTTTTTTTTTTTTTTTGCATTTATTTGCAGATAGAGTGGGAGGGAGAGAGGGAGGAAGAGAGAGAAACATCGATGTGAGAGAGACACATCGATTGGTTGCCACCCGTATGACCCCAACCGGGCCGGGGACAAATTGCAATCAAGTTACGTGCCCTTAGTGGGAACTGAACCTGGGCCTCTCTGGTCCGCAGGCTGACACTCTAACTGCTGAGCCAAACCGGCCAGGGTGGTAGAAAGTTTTAATAAATCCTAATGGGTTTGTGGGTTTGAACCCTTCCACATATTATAGTTGGTGACAGAGGAAAGATGCTGTACCCTATTAATATATGTACTGCTTGTATTAAAGAGGCAACACATGGAGTATTTATGATATGACCGTCACCAAAGCATAAAACTTATTACTCTAAATCTATAAGCAAGTGGCCCAGTGCATGGCTACTATGATTTTTCAGATTTACTCCTTATTTTGAGCCATTAGTTCTTTACAACAACTCCTCCACTTAGAACAATGGTTGTCATTTGACTGGGAGATCACACTTTGGCCTGAAGCAAATATATTCAGCAGAAAAATTGTGCTTTTATTTCTGTTCCTTCTACTGTTCTGTGCGTTTCCTCAAATTAATTGGTCATACAACAAGTTGCTATTACTAAAAGGCAAACCAAAGAACTAATAAAGCAACATTTGCCAAAAAACCAAAATTCAAACGCACAAACAAAAAGCCCAAATTTAATTCTACATGGTTCTTAAACTTCCTTGTATGAAAGTCATCAGAGAGCAGGGGGTTGGGGACTGGGTGAAAAAGGTGATGGGACTAAGAAGCACAAATTGGTAGTTACAAAATAGTCATGGGGAAGTTAAGTAAAGTATAGAAAATATAGTCACTAATACTGTAATAACTCTGTATGGTGCCAGCTGAGGTATTGAAAATATCGAGGGGGAATACTATGTAAAGTATATTATTGTCTAACCACTAAGCTGCACACATGAAACTAATACAAAATGAAAGTAAAAGAAAAAAAGTCATCAGAAAAGGGAGAAGTAGCAGTATTGATGTGAAACTGTAAACTCATACTAATAGATAAATTCATTGTTCAGTATATGTCCAGTTACTATCTGGTTCCACTGACACACACTAAAACTGCCATGCTCCTTATAGCAGCAAGCTCATCATCAGTTCAAAGAACAGGCCACCTCACGCATCCCCTCCCCCCCATTTCTTTCTTTACATTCACCTTGACCTCTGAGGAGTTGATACAAATTACATACCTGGCTACAGCTTCACTGTATACAAAACCAGCATCAGCTCGTTTTACAATTTCAAAACACAGATCCGCTCCATCCATACTGCAGAGAAATGTGAAAAAGAATGTAAGAAGAGAGGAAATTCCAGGATGAAAACACTGAAAGTAAATACATTGTAACTAAGTTATTTGTTGACTTACAGCTAACGATGGTAATAAATTAGTTAAATCTCCTTTCTTTCAATGAAAACTAGACATAAATTGTAAAGGACATTATAACCATCTTAACATTGAAAATCTACAGGGAAAGACAGAGAAAGAACAAGCAAGTGGTAGCATCAAATAACAAGATATGGAAAACTGACCACAAATATTCTTTAGGTTATCACAACAACAAGTCTCAGAAAAGGGCAATGCTGGGGATTATGGGCATATTTTTGAATCAAATTCTGAAATTATCTGTATCTAATCAAGTCATGTAATATTTTAAGACTACCACAAGAATTCTAAAACATTTAGCTATAGTTATCACCACTAAATGGGAATTCAAGATATATACTGTGGAAAGCAAACAATGAGCTAATCCACAATTTATTTTTCTTTACTCTTCTATTGTGAAAGTTAATTGCTACAAACATATTCTAACACAGTGGTGTGTTGGTGACACAGTTTCACTTATCTTACCCCCAAACTTAAAATGGTTCTCTATTTCTTATCAGATCAATAAGGTCTCTTTTTAAAAAGTCTTGGCCACACCTTGCCTCTTCTACCTACTTTTCAAGAATACCTCACTCTCTAGGCACATTAGTCCCATCATTACTCCCTGAATATACCATTTTCTTTTTTGGCCACGTGCTTCTGCATATATTGAATATTCTCATATTCAAAACCTACCTTAATTCAAGGTTCCATTCTCAATCCCACCCTCTCCCAAAGTCCCCTAAATGATTACCAGCCACATTAAGCCCTTCCTTTGCTTAAATTCTGTAACAACCCCCTATAGCCCATATTATAACATTTAGCACTACATACCAACATATATATGTGTATACATGGAATTTTTGCCAGATGATTACATATATTAATGAAATCATTAATAATTAGTTAACAGTTTCATACTTTAAGGCTTATACAGTGTTTTCAAGTCCAGTATCTCATTCTTTCATTTATTTATTCAGTAGCTCGGGCTCAAATATAGTTTCTGCAGGTATTACACCGAGGAAACAGAGACTTCTAGAAGGGAAAATAAAGGAACTAACTATTCATTACTATTACCAGTAATTACTAAATAGTTATAATAACTAATAATCATTACTAATATTACTATTCATCAAGCATCAAGGGAAGCACTTCCTTGTTATATCTCCCTTCATTCTTACAATTACCCCATGAAGTCAGCATCCTTATCATTCTCAAATAATTTGTCTAAGTGAGTAGACAAGCATGTGACAGGGACGGGATTCAAATCTCTATCTATGTTCAATGCTCTTCCCATTATCTGGAGGAACACTTACTGGGTGTGCGAGGACTAAATGCACATATTCAAGCTCAACCGTTCAACAATAGCATAACGTCCTAAAGAACCATTACATTTCATAGTACATTTCATTCTTTTAACATATTCATCTCCAATACTCAGCACATGGTAAATATTTAATGATAGTTGATTATATTGATTATATTATTCAAACCTTGTTTTTTTAAATCCTTACCCAAGGACATGTTTACTGATTTTAGAGAGAGTAATGGGGGAGAAGGGAGAGAGAGAGAGAGAGAGAGAGAGAGAGAGAGATGCCTCTCCAGTTCCTTTCATGTCTCTAAGTCACAGTTTTAAGATTTTCTTCATATTGGTTCCAAATACTAATTATTGAGTTTTTCCCCTGAGGCATTTTATATTATTAGTTCTTATTATAAATGGGATCTTTTGGTCACTGTACAGTTTTTACTATGATGGTTCATAAGCAGGGGTACCAAAAATTATCTGTGTAACTATTTTTTGAGGTGTTAGTATGAAAGTAAGTCATCACTGTAAAAGTAATTTTCTATTGTTAAAGCTATTTAATCAGTTATTTGTAACATTAATTGATATTAAAGAAGCAGTCTACTAATTTAAAATTTTGATACAGAAATAAAAACTAAAAATACTGTTATTTATGCAAAATTTTCATCACAGAAGTTTAAAATAATATATACAATCCAAATATAATAACCTTGAACAAAACGTTTGATATCTCAATTCTTTGATAAACTTTATTTGATAATATAATGCTTCTAAAAATAATGACAAGGCGTCTTTTATTGCTGTTCTCTTTGGCTTCCCATCTTAGGGTGTTTCTGGGGCTGCCAAGAAGCTTCAAAAAGCATGTTCTGAATTTCCCAGTTAGTTCCATTCTGAGAGTGAAATGAGAGGGAGAAGAAACTCTGCTATGGACTAGTATAGAGAGTGCTTCTATACTACATGCAGAGAAAAACTATGGAACCTTTACTCTGAATTGTCAAAAGTGGTGGGATTATGAATGATCTTAGCCATCCCTCCCTTGTCTATCTGAATTAAAATTTTAAAATAATAAACATGCATTATTTATATAATTAAAAATTATCCAAAAATAAATGCATGGAACAAACAAACTAGATCACAGGTCTAGAGGCAAACTTTACTAAACAACTCTAATTTGTCATATAATTCTTGCTCACCTTCCCACAATTTACCCCCAACCTCAGATGCCCAAACTCACCACGCCCCTTCCTATGTCTAGTCTCTTCTCCACACTTTTATCATCACTCTTTGTTAAAATGATATATAAGCCTCTCGGTCTAACTGCCTCTGCGTGGTTTTCACTTTTTTTCTGTGAGGCACGTCAACTGCCCTAAAGTGTGTATATGAAACAATCTCCTGTTAATCTGTTGTTTGTCAACTTAATTCACAGACCCCAGACATTTAAATCTAAGAGGGTAGAGGAGAGGTTATACTCCCCTCTGTCATGTTTTCTACAAAAGCAGAGAAGGAGGGGACTTGTAGGAGATTAGCACCTGATTACATGAAAAAGTGCTTCTCAAATTAACTGTGGTAGAGGAACAATATTTTTCCTTCAGGTACATAATGAACCAATACTTTTTTAAAATAAATGATAATAAAATCATGTGCTATAATTTCACAGAATGTGAAATGTCGAATTCCTCCAACAGTTTCTAAATATTTATTCCCAATTTCTGTACTTAAGTCATTATAGACTGGTAAAAGGTGGTAGATTGGAATGCATATGCAAACTATTCTTTGACGAACATTGTAAAGAACAGATCAAATCTGGATTTCTCTCACCAGCATTTTCACTGAAGGTAACAAAAAACAAGAACAAAAATAACTACGAAACCTGAATAAAATTTAAAAAGATTTTTAAAAGCTTTAAAGAATTAACAGTATAATGAATATAAAATTACACAGTGAGAATGGGGAAGGGATTGAGCTCAAATAGGTGAGCAAGACTGCTCCTGTCCTGGGGGTAGGGAGTGGGCTATGGAAAGAAGGCAGCTGCAGAGGGGCAGTAGTGGTCACTACATTTTTAGGGAACTCTGGGGTCAGTCAGATGGAGACGGACAGGGTCCAACTGCTTTTGCATCATGATGATCCAAAAGGAGAGACAGAGCTATTCTTTTGGCAGACCTCAGAACAGCAGCCAAAGGCTAAGGTCCTGATAAAATACCCCATGCTCTGGCTGGGACCATAAAGAGTTGTATTTTGAAAACTGGGGTACAGAAAAATATTCTGGTATGTTTTGTTAGCACAGAAAAAAAGTCCCAATGTTTACCATGGAGATAAAAGCTGAATTTAAAACTTCAGCAAGAAACAAGAAATTATAATAAGTGACACAATAGATTTGAAAAACAGAAATTTCAGAATGGAAAAATATAATACCAAAGTTAAGAACATACACAGATTACATAGTTGAAGAGAAAATTAGTGACCTGAAAATTTCACCAGATTGAAGCATGGGGAGACAAAACACGGAAAATATAAAAGTGAGTGAAAGAACCAAAAGATTACAGTGAGAAGGTCAGTATATATTTTATTGAAGTTTCAAAAGTGAAAACAAAACAGAAGCATCACTGAAAATATAATGGCTGATAACTACTCCCAAATAATTAAAGATACCAATCCACTGATTTAAGAAGCCCAATAAACATTAAGCAAGATAAATAAAAGAAATCTATAGTTATAGGATACAGTGGAAAGAAATCTTAAATCAAAATAACTGCCAACCTAAAATTCTAGTTTCACCAAATAACCCTTAAAAAATGAAGGTAAAAAAAATTCTTTCAGACAAGGAAAAGAGCAAGAGAATTTGCCATCAGCATACCTTTCCCTATAGGAAATACAAAGGAGTATTCCTCGGGTAGAAGAAAAATAAAGTCAAATAAAAACTCAGAGATGCAGCAAGTCACGAAAAACATAAAATGCAAATATGTGCAGTCACACACCACTTGAGGACGGGATATGTTCTGAGAAATAAGTTGTAAGACAATTTCATCATTGTTTGAACATCATAGAGTGTATTTACAAACCTAGATAGTATAGCTTACTACACACCTAGGCTATAGGCATACCATTGTGACTATAGAGGAATCTAAATGAACAATGATTATATAAAACAACCATTTTCTCACTCTTTCTCTGCAGAGAGAGACCATATAAAACAATAACTACTCCGAGAGAGAGAAGATCGATTTTAAATAAAAATACTTGACAAAAATAACATAAATGAGGAGGCATACTGCAATTTCTAGGACAACCAATAGAGCTCTAACTTTTAAAAAAAGTATCAGGACCCTTTTCTAATCTTAAAGATTATTGAGAGCCCCAAAGGGATTGTGTTTGTATGGGTTTTAATCCATCAATATTTGCTGTATTAAAGTTAAAATTCAGAAATGTAAAAACCATTTATTTAAAAATAACAATAATAAATCCATTACACGTTAACAGAAATAATATTTTTCATGAAAATTAACTATATATTCTAAAACAGAAAACTTTTGTTTTTGCATACAATAGTCTTTATTGCTAAATTGTCTGTAAGAGTTAAAAACTTAGAAACAACCAAATGCCCA